GGGGGGGGGGGGGGGGGGGGCACGGTGTGGCGTGCAATGACTGCGTGGAGAAGAAAGAAAAAATCGGTGCGATGAAGCAGACAGAGCACAGACAGACTAGTGTGGCGTCTGGCCACTGGCAAAGCGAAATGCGGTGTACCAGCGCGTTATGGATGGCTCACGAGCCGCGACGAAACACGCTCAAGGGGGAACACCAACACCATACAGTACAACAAGCTGTGCTACGGGGACGTCGTGGAGCACATGTATAGCAAAGAAGACATGACGTGATTAACTACAGGTGTGTAGTAGGCAGCGATGTCATAGGCAAGTGTCTACACGTGATTGCATAGAGAGGTAGTCTACACCTTCATACACAGAGGTGGCATCCAGGGATGCTCAAGTTCGTGAACAACGTGCGAGCGCCACGCCCCCAAGCGTGACCACGTCATCGATCGCTCCTCAACATGGGTATGTGCCAACTCCGTTCTGTCGCTCAAGAACTGTATCAAAACCAAACAGCAACAAACAAGGCACGTACGCAACTGTACCTTCTCTAGGTCTGCATCATCGGAGATCTTGGCTGCTGAGATCTCGGAGATCACGGTGTACTCCGCCATCGTGGAGCACCCCCTGTCCCCCGCATCAAAATCGATAAAAAATGGGCCGAAGAAGACAAAAGAGCGTGGCATCACGTATCGCAAGTCGAGCTTGTTGTGGGAAGTCCCCCAACCCACCTCTCTCTGACTCCCTCTCTCTCTCCGCATCGCTCCTCCAGTGCCAAAGACAAAGAGATCGGGCGAATGCTTGTGTGCGAAGATGCAGAGCATACGTCGACGTCCACACGACCAAAAAGATCGACAACACCGACCATACATGTGGGGAGCAGCTGCAACATAAAACGAGGGTGGTATGACCCCACAACCGTACACAACACACGAGCACCCGAACGGGTCGCTTCTCATGGAGCGCGAGCAAAGCGACGGATGATGTACCATGAGACTCACATCGAGCCGCCGCAAAGAACCTCGATCGATTGGCGATGGGAGGCGACCACTCAGCAGCGACGGCGCGAACACACTCACATGAAGTGGTAGATGGGCTTGCCGTCGATGGAGAAGCGAGTGGTCCCGTCGGGCATCACGCCCTTCCCCTGCGTCGCCCGGATGGTGGGGCAGAGATTCGTCTTGGTGCTCTGGCAGAAGATGCACTCGGCCTGCTTGCACTCCGGCGTGTAGCAGGGGATTACCTGGAAAAGATTTTTTTTATATTGGTGTGCAGCATCCACGTTATTTTTGTTGGGCAGCGGAGCAGGAGTGAGCAGCAACAACTGGTAAAATATACCCGCGGATGAAGCGCCGGGAACAGAGGCACTAGGTGACGAGCACCCAATAAATGCTGAAAGCAAAAAAAACAGTAGTATATTATAATAGTGCCAATATGAGAAGAGGAACAAACGCCCCCACCGCATAACCACAAACTATGCGCTGCGGTTGTGAAGTCGGTGAGCCACTTCGGGGGATGAATCTACGTACTGTCCACACAGGTAGCCTTGCGGGTACCGGGGCCTATGTTTCGTTCCAAGCAATAAAAAAAAATATCGCGGGGGTGCGGAGCCAGCTTATCCGACACAGGCGCAACGGTCCGCGCACTCGCGCGCGAGAAAGAGGGGGGGGGGGGGGGGTGTACTCATAGTCGTGCATGCCGTAGTCGTTTGACCATTGACCTCGCATCCCTACAAAGCCGGGACGGAGCACGCCGGGTTCTCACCGGACCAGGCTCTCACATCACCAAGCGCGAAGCGCCGTGAGGTATTTGGCGAGTCGCATGAAGGGTGAGCTGCATCCTGCTAAGGGTGTTCGGCATCTTGTGCTTACTTCCTTGCGTACGGATGACAG